CCGAATTGTTTTCGTAGGTGCCTTCGTGAACTTACCTTAGAACATATTCTCTGTCCCCCGACCCCAAACATATGGCGAGTGGGCCATCGAACGTTCTTCTGAATAGAGTTCCTTTGGACAGGCTAAACCTAGCTTCCTTTGTGCGCAAAGCTCTCGATTCTTTAGGATCTGAGGGAAACTTCCTAGCCTTCAAGTAGTCTATATACTTGTTTCTCTAGTCCCAATTTAAACTCGTTGAGTTTATCTCGGCATGGCCTTCTTCCACTACCGATTTAATGAGTTGTACGACCGTTCCTGAGCTGAATTCATTGTCATCAACTGATGACTCCAAGTTAGCCAGAGCATCGGCTTTGCTATTTTAATCCCGGGGTACGTGCTGTAATGTCCATTCCTTGAATCGATGCAGCGTTACCTATAATTTGTCTAACTACCTTCGCATCCATTCGTCATTCACTTCCAATGTCCCATTGACTTGATTTACCATAAGGAGGGAGTCGTACTAAGCTTCAACCACTTCAGCCCCCAGGCTTTTAGCTTATTCAAGACCTGCAATCATGGCCTCATACTCGGCCTCATTGTTAGTCAATTTCACAGTTCTAATAGATTGCTTAACTACGTTACTCGTAGGCGGCTTCAACACGATGCCGAGTCTAGACCCCTTTGCGTTCGAGGTACCGTCCATAAAGAGGGTCCAGATTCTCGAGGAAGTCCCCGAGGTTAACAACAATTCCTTTTTGACTTCGATTATTAAGGCCGGCGTGAAGTCGGGCACGAAATCTACCAAAATTTGAGATTTTATGGCGGTTCGTGGTCGATATTCGATATCGTACCCGCTAATTTCTATGGCTCATTTGGCCAATCATCCCCAGAGCTGGGGTTTGTGCATTATTTCCTTAGTGGATAAGAAGTTACGACACAAATGGGATAGCATTGAAAATATGGATTCAACTTTATGGAGGCGCTTAGCAAAGCGAGCGTCAATTTCTCTAGGTCAGGGTACTTTTTTCGGCCTCACCTAAAGTTCTACTGACATAATAGATAGGAAATTGCGTACCTTCATCTTTCTGGACTAAGAATCCACTTACCACTATCTCGGATACTGCTAAGTACAGGTACAACTGCTTGTCTACCTTTGGAGTATGAAGCAAAGGCGGACTCGAAAGGTACTGTTTGAGTTCTTTCAAAGCTTTTTGGCACTCCGGGGTCCACAAAAAGTTATTCTTCTTCTTCAATAACAAGAAGAATCGATGGCTCTTATCGGAGGACCTTGATATGAACCGGCCCAGGGCGGCTATGCACCCGGTTAGCCTCTGAACGACCTTACATTGTCCACCACGGTGATGTTTTCTATAGCTTTGATTTTATCGGGATTGATCTCGATCCCTCGGTTGGACACCATGAATCCAAGGAACTTCCCGGACCCAACCCTGATTATGCATTTCTCCGGGTTCAACTTTATATTGTACTTCTTCTGTATGTTGAAGGTTTCCTGCAAATGTTCCAAATAGTCCTCTGCTCGCATGGACTTAACTAACATGTCGTCCATTTAAACCTCCATTAATTTTCCTATTTGTTCTTCGAACATTCAGTTTACTAGGCGTTTATAAGTGGCACCGGCATTTTTTAGTCCGAACGGCATTATGTTATAACAATAGGTGCCAAATTTAGTGATGAAGGAAGTTTTTTCTTGATTGCTCGGATCCATCCGGATTTGGTTGTACCCGGAGTAGGCATCGAGAAAGTTGAGTATCTCATGTCCGGCCATTGCATCGATCATGCGATTGATGTTAGACAAAGGAAAAGAATCCTTAAGGCATGCCTTGTTCAAGTATTTGTAATCAACGCACATTCTTAATTTATTTCCCTTTTTAGGCACTACTACTATGTTAGCCAACCAATCCGGGTATTAAACTTCCTGAATGGAACCTATTCTAAGGAGTTTGGATACCTCATCTTTGATGAACGCATGCTTGACTTCAGACTGAGGCCTCCTTTTCTGTTTAACCGGGTGGAACTTCAAATCCAAGCATAGCTTATGAGTGGTTACTTCTGGCGGGATCTTTGGCATATCTAGATGGGACCAAGAAAAACAATCCATGTTAGCTATAAGTAATTTAATGAGTTTTTTCTTGAGCTCGGGAGTCAACCCCGTACCCAGGTATACCTTTCGATCGGGCAGTTGTTCGATCAATATGACTTGCTCCAGCACCTCGATCGTCAACTTGGTGACATCTGAATCGTCAGAGGTGATGAACGACCTAGGAACTCCATAATCATCATCCTCGCCTGCCTCTTGCTTCGCCGGTTCAGTCAGAGCCGGTGTCGGTTATTGCTATTTAGTTTCTTCCTTCCTAACCAACTCTGGGTTATTTGATGTCGAGAGCGCAGACATCGTGATCATCTCATCGACCGCAAAAATTTCTTTTACAACGGGCCGCTCTCTGTAAACTATCTTGATCCCTCCCGGTGTGGGAAATTTAATGCCTGGTGTAGTGTCGAGGGTATTGCCCTCATTTTGTGAATCCATAGCCATCTGAATAGAGCATTATATTTCATAACCCCTTCGATCACGTAGAACTTCGTTTCCTAAATGGTTCCGGCAGTGTTCACTAGCAGGGTTATCTCCCCTTTAGTAGTTTCACATGCCATGTTGAATCCGTTTAAGACCCGGACCGCAGGCACTATTTGGTCTTGCAGACCCAGCTGCTCTACGACCCTCGATCTGATGATACTGGCTGAGCTACCTTGATCAATCAACACATCCTTAACACGATATTTATTTATGAGTAAAAAAATTACCAGTTCATCATTATGCGGTTGCACGATTCCTTAAGCGTCTTCATCGTTGAAAGAGATGGTCCCCTCTGGCATGTAATCTCGGGTTTGCTTTTCCCTTGTAATGGACACCTTAGTTCGCTTTAGTATTGGCCCCTAGGGGGACGTCGACTCCACCAATTATCATGTTGATGACGTGATGAGGTTCCTCTTGCTCGGTCTGTTTGTTGGACTCCCTATTCCTTAAGTGATTTTTGGTTCGATCACTCAAAAGTTCCCGGAGGTGCCCGTTATTGAATAGCCGGGTCACTTCTTCTCTTAGCTATCAACAGTCTTTGGTCCTGTGGTCGTGAGTGCCATGATACTTACACATCAAGTTGGGGTCTCTTTGGGCAGGATCAGACTACAATGGCCGAGGCCACTAGGTATCTCTGATGCGTCCGATGGTAGATACTATGCCGGCCGCATCGACGTTGAATTTGTATTCTGATAACCTCGGTGCCTCCCTGGCCCCGAGGGGTATGTCGAAACTATTTTTTCTCATGAGTCCCCAGCTATTATGACCTTGATCGCTTCTTTTTTCATTCTTCGTAGGGTTACATCCGTATCTGTTGCCCCTTTGATCTCCGCTATACGATTGATACCGAACTTTGATTGGTCTTGGTTCATAATCGATGACTCTTTTAGACCTGTCATTAGTTATGATTGGATACACAGACCCAGAGGGGGCCCCGAGCTGATCATCCTTGACTCTGATTTTCGATTAGTACTATAGTGGATGTTAGTCCAAGTTACCGCCGGGTACTCTATCAAATTATGTTTCAGCTGCTGTGAAGCCAAGGAGCTTTGAGGGTTGAGTCCTTGAGTGAATGCTTGAACGGACCAATCGTCCACAACCGGAGGCAGATCCATTCTTTTCATTTGAAACCTCGATAGGAATTCCCTGAGCATTTCATTATCTCTTTGTTTCACTTTAAATATAATGATCCGATTTTCTGGTCCTGACATTGATGGCCCAGGCATGAGCTTTTACGATGGCATTTTCAAGCATAGCAAACGAATCAAAGGAATTAGGGGGTAGGTTGTGATACCATATCATTGCTCCTTTAGACAGGGTTTCTCTGAACTTTTTCAGCAGAACCGACTCGATTTCGTCATCTTCTAAGTCATGTCCCTTGATGGCACACGTGTAGGTGGTCACGTGTTTATTTGGATCCTTGATCCAATTATACTTTGGAATTTTGGGCATACAAAACTTCTTTGGGATTGGTTTCGGAGCTGCGCTTGGAGGGAAAGGCTTTTGGACAAATTTCTTGGAATTCAGGCCTTTCAATATTGGGGGTTCTCTTGGGATTTGATCAACCCTGGAGTTATAGGTCTCCACTTTTTGGTCGTTGGCTTCGATTTTCTTTTCTCTCGATTCCACCCGCTTTGTCAGTTCCTCAAGCATCTTTATTATTTCGGGGTTGGTCCCGGGTTCAACTTCACCCGGCCTTTCTGTTGCTGGTTTATTTTTGCGGGTGTTTTCCCGGGATGGTTCGGGCTCAACTATGCTGGGGGCGCGACTTTGGTTTTGCAACTAGGCTATCACCGCCTGTTGAGCTTGTAACATTTCAAAGATCACCCGTAAATTGATCAAATTGCCTTCGCCGTCGTGTGTACCCCGGGCTATCGATCGGGCTCCCATGCAAATGCTGTTTTCGAGGTCGGTAGGCAAGTTTGCGTCGACGGCCACATGTGAGTTGGCATCAATTGGGTTCGCGACTGGAACTCCGTTGGGGTCAACAAGGGGCACCTCATTGCTGGGCACTACATTGTTGTTCTCGCCATGGTGGCCAGACTCAGTATCAACGTTCAAGTGAGCACATTGAGAGTTTGACATTTTTAATTTGACCTTACATTAAAATCTTAAAGAACAAGCGTAAAACAGAGTGCGTTATGAAAATTTGTATCAGATTATCACTATTATCCCTAGCCTCACGGTGGACGCCAAACTATTTACACTTAGAAACGGATAATAATTTAATTTGTATGCGATTTTAAGGATATGTGAATTAATTCAATACAAGTGATTAATGACGTTAGATTAAGCAAATGAAAGATGTGATAAATGATCAAACCAATGATAAGAGTGATCCCAGGCTTGGTTAATGGCTCAATGAGGAACCTGCCTTCGATTCCGAGCTTGCACTTATGAACTTATGAATAAAAATAAGAACTTTGAATAACAGAGAGAATAGAAATAAATTACCTTGGTATGCGTGTTACAATGTATGCTATGAATAATAAGCTTCCTCCTTTTTATAATAGTGGAGTTTTAGCCTAACTACAATTCTAAGAAAGGTAAAAATCTTCTGTTTCGCTAATCACTGATTTTCTGCCGATAGAGGCCGAGATTCATGTTGTAATATCCGGTTGGACACGGACATCACAGCCTTTTGTTAGTCATGTGCAGCTGTTTGGTAGTGCTCTCCGAAGTCTTGAGGCTCGAACCGGACACGGAGGACGTGGTCCCGATGCCCCCGAGGGAAGGTATTTTGCTCGAGCCCCGATACGAGGGGCTCCTATCGGAAAACTGGGATGCTCAGTGGGCTCTGTTTTACCTTATACACACATATATATATATATTTTACTAAAACAAAAAACACTGGGACTCACATGTAAAGTAACCACTCCCCAATACTCATCTTGAATATCTAAAGTACCAGATATTGTCTTGCTGCATAAATTATGAAACGCTTGAGTTTCAACGGCATAGACATAAATCAATAAGACATCGAAATCATTTAACTTCTTGAGTTATCGCATATATAGCAAGAAGAGCTCACGCATTGATGAAGAAGCCTGAATCTGCAACGCACTTTACTCTTACATCATTTGGAAGGAGAGACTTGAACTTATCGCAATTCAAGATTGTAGCCAATCCTCCAGCTGAAGTTCCTCTTAGGATTGCCTACATATAAAATGCATTTTGGTTTCAAAATTAAGCCAATTGGGAAAAAAGTTGTAAAGTACCATAGTAATTTAGTATGTGACTTGTATTATACTATATGGGCGTTAGAGAGCGATGTCAGTTGAATCTTACATTTTCAGCCGTTTGCATTCCTTTTCTTGATAAATCATTCATAATGGCTCTGAAGATTCTTGCTCCTCTATAATAAAGTTTGGTATCCTAATGTAGATTGGAAAACATTTCATATCAGAAAAGTTGTAAACAAATACTACTGCAATTTATTTTTCAATATTAGGGAAGCACAGGATCAACATCTTCAACATCACCTGTGAACGATGACACATAGCAATATCTGACCCTAACTCCATTCCAATGGTAAAAGTCTGCCAACTCATACGTTTACAAATTAGTAGCCGCTAAAATACGAAGAAAAAGAACAAAGCAAGAAAATAGTAAGATTATATAGCTTCACCTGGATTACTTCTGGGTTCGTCATGAAGAATTCCCGAAAATGTGACTTGTGGTGGAAGCATCTTTATGGAAGAACCTAAGCCGCTATTTGAACGATTATGGCAATCAGAGATACCAGAGCACCAACCACCAACCTAACAGTACGATTTTCTTTTTCAAAAGAGTTAACAAAAAGCAAAATAATTGAAGATTTGGCTACTTGGTTAAGATAAAGATGAAAAGAAGATGAATAATAGAAGAAGAAGTAAATGTAACTAACATCAACGGCGGTGATCCAGCTGCGAAGTCCAGTACCATATCCCTGATCAAGATGATATGCTGGAGGGATCCCATCTAGGCACACTGTTGGTGATTCTGTTTTGTCTGTTGCCTAATGTATTTTACCTGCACCTTCAGCAGTGGCGCTGTGAATTATGGTTTTTGTGGTTGTTGGGCCATAATAGCTGTCAACATTGCTGAAGACGCTAGCAAAGCTAAGAAAAAGCTTACCGTCCTGCAAAACATTCAAATAATCAATTGTTGGCTTATTATATTGCATATGTAAAAATTCCTTCTGTTAAAATCAACATTTATCAGGAGAAACAAGGCATTGCCAAATTTTAGTTAAAACAACGAAGAAAGAGATGCAAAGACAAATAGAATGAAATAATACATTTGGTCTTCTTAGAAAGGCTTGTGAGAGAAAGCAATTATAGTAGACCGTAGAAGCAAGTAGAGGTGAATGAGTTACGTTGGTCTGATAGTTCGTCTCTATTTATAATAATGCCAATGCCAGTAACTATTTTGCTTCCTTCCATGCTAGGGTTCTAAAATGTCTCGTTGGGAGAATAGCTCCAGCCTCCGTGCATGTGCCAATCTCCATCACTTCTTTACTTCTCTTCTCAAACAAATCACATGGTTTTCTCTTGCCATATTTGGCAGTAGAAATTAAAGTTACCCATAACCTTCTTTCCTTGGCAGACATAACTAATTACTCTTTTTACTTGTTTTATCTTTTTCAAACAATTCACATGGGTTTCTCTTGCTATTTGGCAGTAAAAATTAATATTTTTATTTTCCATAACCATCTTCTTTTCTTGGCAGTGATATTTTACTCTCTTCACTTCTTTTATCATCTTCAAGCAATCACATGGGTTACTCTAGCTAATTGGCAGTAGAAATTAAAATATCCCATAACCTTCTTCTTTTCTTAGCAGTGAAAAATTAACTCTCTTTACTTCTTCTCTTCTCTCTTTGAACAGTTCACATGGTTTACTCTTGCTTTTGGCAGTAGAAATTCAAATTTTCCACAACCTTCTTCTTTTCTTGGCAGCGGAAAATAACTCTCTTTACTTCTTTTCTTCTCATTTCGAACAATTCACATGAGTTCGTCTTGCTATTTGGCGATGCTTTTTATACAGCTACTAGTGTAGTTTAATATACTAATATCAAGTTTTTTACCGTTCTTTCGAGATAAGCAGTCAATGATTATTACATAAAGTTAAATATAAATTGTTGAGTTTAACTTTCATAGTTTAAAAGAAATGTTGCACTATTAGGACCTAAATAATAACTACTGGTATTGTCCAAAAGTGAGATCATTAATCTGGACAACAAATGAGATTCCATGCTTCAACATGTTAAAACATCATGTTAGTACTATACAAATTATTTATAGTCAATGTATATAATTAAATTAAATCCATTATATGTAGGGTGACCTAAGTGTCAATATCCTTTACAGCATGAATAGAAACTTATGAAATTGTAATGGTCAATAAGTACAAAATCTAAGAAGAAAACAACTTTTCACTAGTTTGGACAGAGCTTGCTAACTAAGATAAATAATATTTTATTATATATCTCATGATATATCCATTAACACCACATTAATCAAGGTGGTCAAATAAAACCACACTCTCACATAAGACAAACCTTTTTTAAGTTCATGTTGTTTAACCCAAAAAAATTAATTTTCAATGTCAAAGCAATTAATTTTATATGACGGTTCACAAGTAACCGATTCAATCCGAAAGATAAAATAATTTGTTAATACAACGTGATAGAGAAGAGAAAAATAAATTCAATGACAGATATTATAATATGAACACACAAGTATAAATAATTATTATTGGATGATCCTTGATAGTATGATGAGCAGAACAGAGCTTAAAGAGCCAAACTATGGCTAAATTGGGAGCAAGATGCTATGAATTCCAATGTATAGAACTGTAGAGAAAAAAAAATAGATGATTACAAGGGTGATAAAGTGTGTCTATTTATAGAACTAGATCTAAGTAACCATTCTCATTGAATTATGGGTCTATTATGAGCATTTACTCATCCATTCGTTACTTTTGGAAGACTTGTAACAGCTGAGTAAATGTTGAATATTCGTAACTGATGAGTTAATTCCGTAACTGATGAGTCAATCTCGTACCTGTTGAGTCAATCCTGTACCTGTTGATGAGTCAATCATGTACCTGTTGAGTCAATCCCGTACCTGTTGAGTCAATCCTGTACCTGTTGATGAGTCAATCATGTACCTGTTGAGTCAATCCCGTACCTGTTGAGTCAATCTCGTTCCTATTGAGTCAATTTCGTAATTGATTGCCTTATTCTGCCCGTTACAATCATTTATTACATTTATTGTACGTTACATAATTTATTTGTAACTGATAGCATAATGATGATAAATCTCATATAATTCGTGTTTAATTTATTCTTTCCTCATTAGTAATGATGAGTTATTCTCCCGTACTTGATCTGGGTTGTTCTATGATGATCAATTCCGAGGCTAACAGGCATGGTACGAGTATGTTCGGTCCCGAGGGTGTTTAACATATAAACTCTACATATCGTTCTTCACTTTTCTCATTACTTTGATCGCATGTATCGCCATTTTATAGACCCGCGTTGCGAGTTTATTTTTCACTAATGCAGATAGTCTCCACACTTTTCGATTACTCACCATGAAGTGATCGGGAAGTGAAATCTTTAATCTTTTTTACCCTCCCCTCTGTATCATTAAACACCTTGCCGGAAAAATCCAATATGGACAAAAATCGAGCGAAGGGAAAAAGATTGCCGAGCTTAGGGATTCAGATGACAACTCTGCCACTTATTTTCCTTTCGTCAATGATCAGTCGATGCTGAAAAAGTACCACTATCACAAAAAACTTGATCTCGGGTTTTTATTGTTCATCTGAAACTTTTTATCTTAGGGTTTTGACTCTTGGATTTTTAGTTGTACGCGAAACGTTTATAACCTCACAGCCATAGAGGCCGGGGATATTAATAATCAGGAATTTTATACTTCTGATTTTGATAAAGTCCAGGAATTTAATGCAGCCAGTTAACTTTACGATCGAGAAATAAAGAATCCGACCGTTAGCCATTTGATTGAATGAATTTAGAAGAAGAGTACTTTGGGTACTGATCTAGAGAGTGTCGTTGCACGTCTTCCAAAGAAAAGATTTGACAAGGGAAAGAAAGAGCTTTCCGAGGATAGTCAGAGTAAATGCTGGACCAATCCCCTACCTACTCAGTTTCATCTCCAAGCTAGATTATATTTCCCTTATCATGGCGGATGATAGAGAGAATTCTCTTAGTTGAGAAAGATATAAGTACTGCAAATATAAGTACTGTAATCAACACTTTTCTAGATATTATTTGGTACTGTAGCGAATTTATCCAAGAACTAATTTTTTTGGAACTTTAAGAATTTATCTAAGTGCTCATATTTAGTATTATAGACTTGAAATAGATATTTGGATACATTATTTCATGAGCGATGTCTTAAAATTGCACCTTTGGATGTCTGACTTTTAAATAAAAGAGGGCCCTTTTATATCTTTTAAATGCTAAGAAGAGGATATCTTGTAACAATCCGGCCGGTCGTTTTGAGTATTATAGCCCCGTTACCTAATTTATTGCTTATCCTATATTCATTGTGGTTATGTGACTTGCCGGGGTGGTTAGTTTCGTTCCGGGATGTTTCAGAATGAATTGGGACACTTAGTCCCAAGGTTGGATGCTTAAGTTAAAAGAGTTGACCGAATGTTGACTTATGAATAAATGACTCCGGAATGGAGTTTTGATGGTTCGGATAGCATTGTATGGTGATTTTTGACTTAGGAGTATGGCCGTATATTGATCTGGAGGTTCGTAGGTCGTTTTGGCTTGAATTGGCGAAAGATGAAAAGTTGAAGGTTTGGAAGGTTGAGAAGTTTGACCGAGAGTTGACTTTGTTGATATCAAGCTCGGATTTTGGTTTCGGGAATTGGAATAGGTCTGTTCTATCATTTATGACTTGTGTGCAAAATTTGAGGTCAATCGGGGTTGGTTTGGTATGTTTCGGCATTGGTTTTAGAAGTTGGAAGTTCAATAGTTCATTAGGCTTGAATTGAGGTGCAGTTCGTGATTTTTATTGTGTTTGATTTGATTTGAGTCTTTGACTAAGTTCATATCTTTTTTTAGGACCTGTTGGTATGTTTGGATGGGGTCCCGGGGTCCTCGGGCGTGATTCGGATTGCAATTGGATTGAAGTTTGGACTTGGAGAAATCTGTTGGGTTCAGTTCTGGTGTAACCGCACCTGCGAGGAACTGGCCGCAGGTGCGGAGCCACAAAAGCGGTCTGGGAGGCGCAGATTCAGGGTTTGTCTAGGCTGGGTAGTGGCCGCAAGTGCGAGGTTGTTTCTGCATCTGCGAGCCCACATATGCGATGAAGCTGCCGTAGATGCGGATTTTGGTTAGGGGAAGCTAGAGTCGCACAAGCGGAGGAGATCCGCGGATGCGGTCCCGGAGGTGCGGGGCTTGGACCGCAGAAGCGGGAATGGACCGCAGAAGCGGCATGTCGGGGTTTTAAGTGGACTTCGCATAAGCGAAGTGTTTTTCGTAAAAGCGGAGCCGAATGTGCTGTTGGTGAGCCGCAGAAGCGAGAATGCCTGGGCAGAATGATATAATCGAGGGTTTGAGCTATTTTCTTCATTTTTGGACTTTAGAAGCTCGGCTAGTGGCGATGTTTGAGAGGTATTTCACTATAATTAAAGAGGTAAGCAACTTTTTATCACTTTTGTCCATTAATATTGAATACCCATTGATGTTTACACCTAGATTGCTTGTATTTGAGGTGCAATTTGGGGGATTTGCGGTCTATGTATTGGAGAGTAAGATTTGGGGATTTGAGGATCAATTTGTGGTCGGAATTGGATGATTTTGGTATAATTGGACTCATTATTGAATGGGTGTTCGAAATTTTTAAATTTTGTCGGGTTTCGAGGCGTGGCCCCGGGGTTGACTTTTTGGGTTGACTTTTTGAATTTGGTTAAAGTACTTAGTTTTATCATATGGAATCGATTCATATAGCATGTATTGATTATATTAATTTGTTTATGTCTAGATTCAAATCGTTCGGAGATTGATTCGCGAGGCAAGAGTTTATTGGAGCATTGAGTTGCACACTTTGAGGTAAGTAACACTTCTAAACATGGAACTAAGGGTATGAATCCTTGGAAAACGTATTGTGTGGTTTGTGTTGGGGTGACGGGCATGTGGGCGTACACCGTGTTAATCATGATTCGGCTGTTTCTTTTGGACTATGGTGTTATCAATTCTTGTTCTATCCATGAAATCCTTACTTGTTAGAGTAAATGAACTGTAATTCATGTTAGAAACCATGTTTAGGCTATGTACTTATTCAGTTGAGGCCTAGTGAGGTTATTTATGATGTTTTGAGTT